CGAGTGGTTCTTCAGATATCAGTGGAACAGTCATGGAACAGCTAAAAATCAGATAATTATTATGCAAATTAGTTAATTAATATTCATGGATTTTTACCAAAACCTAATCAACTCTGCGCATTATCCCAGAGCATCTATGTACCAAGTTTTATCGAAATTTGATTAGTAATTCTTGAGATAACGATGGAACAAAAAAAGTGACATACATACATACATACATACATACATACATACATACATACATACATACATACAGACATACAGACATACAGACATACAGACATACAGACATACAGACAGGGTAGCTGCAAAGACTCCCTTTTGTGCTTCGCACACGGGAGTCAAAAACAAGTCATTGTCGATGACATAGTCACTGTTTGTAGTATAGGCATGAGATACTGTAAAACATGTGTAAAAGGTGAATTATGGTGAAATGACGTAATATCGAAATGTTGATTTAGCGAATCTATCTTGTCATTGTTGATTTCCTATTTTCACGATACATGTCTGTCGCGTGCCAAAACAAATGCGCAGTTATTACCTCCATAACAACAAAGAAAAACTGTCAAGTGTAATTAGGAAGCATCCCAGATTTTTATGTTCCAAATTACTGTATACAAATACCCAAGCCTTGGCCATTTTGAATTTATAAAAAGTAATCAACAACATCTTGAATTATCGAATCAATTCTTCTGCTAAATTCGCGAAAAAGACATGTTTTACAGTATTATTATATGAATACCGAAGTGATATCCACATTATTATATGAATACCGAAGTGATATCCACATTATTATATGAATACCGAAGTGATATCCACATTATTATATGAATACCGAAGTGATATCCACATTATTATATGAATACCGAAGTGATATCCACATTATTATATGAATACCGAAGTGATATCCACATTATTATATGAATACCGAAGTGATATCCACATTATTATATGAATACCGAAGTGATATCCACATTATTATATGAATACCGAAGTGATATCCACATTATTATATGAATACCGAAGTGATATCCACATTATTATATGAATACCGAAGTGATATCCACATTATTATATGAATACCGAAGTGATATCCACATTATTATATGAATACCGAAGTGATATCCACATTATTATATGAATACCGAAGTGATATCCACATTATTATATGAATACCGAAGTGATATCCACATTATTATATGAATACCGAAGTGATATCCACATTATTATATGAATACCGAA